TAAAGCGGTAAAAGATCTGTCCACTGCAAACTGTAAAACATTAATGAAAAAAAATTGAAGATATAAATAAATAAAAAGGTTTCCCATGTTCATAGATTGGAAGAATTAATATTGTTAAAGTGTCCATAGTACCCAAAGTGATCTACAGATTCAATGCAATCTCTATCGAAATCCTAACGACAGTTTTCACAGAAATTATTCTATTTCTGTGAAATCCTAAAGTTTGTGTGGAACCACAAAATACTCCAAATAGCCAAAGCATTCTTGAGCAAAAGGAACAAAGCTGGGGTGTTGACACCACATGACTTCAAAATATACCACACAGCTACAGTAATCAAAACAGCATGATAAGGCTGGGCGCGGTGACCCATGCCTATAATAGCAACACTTTGGGAGGCTGAGGCAGGAGGATTGCTTGAGCCCGGGAGTTCAAGACCAGCCAGGGCAACACAAGCAGACCCTGTCTCTGCAAAACTTTTTTTAAATGCTGGGTATGGTGGTATGTGCCTGCGGCCCCAGCTACTCAGGAGACTGAAGTGGGAGGACTGCTTGGGCCTGGGAGGTCTAGCCTGCAAAGAGTCGTGATTGCACCACTGCACTCTAGCCTGGGCAACACAGTGAGATCCTGTCTCAAAAAAGACCTCAGAAAACAGTATGATAGCCAGGTGCAGAAGCACATGTCTATAGTCCCAGCTATTAGGGAGGCTAAGGCAGGAGGATTGCTGGAGCCCAGGAGTTCAACACCAGCCTGGGCCACATAGTGAGACCCTGTCTCTAAAACCACAAATAAGTAAAACAGCACAGTACTGGCATAAAAACAGACACAGACCAATGGAACAGAATAGAAAGCCCAGAAATAAATTCAGACATGTATGGTCAATTGATTTTCTGTTTGTTTGTTTTGAGATAAGGTCTCCCTTTGTCACCCAGGCTGAAATGCTGTGATGCTATTATGGCTTAGTGCAGCCTTGAGCTCTTGGGCTCAAAGGATCCTCCTGCCTCACCCTCCCTGAGTAGCTAAGATTACAGGTGTGCCCCATCATGCCCAGCTAATTTTTTTTTTTTTTTAATTTCTTTTTAGAGTCAGGGGCTTGGTATGTTGCCCAGGTTGGTTTCAAACTCCTGGCCTCAAGCAACTCACACATCTCAGCCTCGCAATGTGCTTGAGTTACAGGCATGAGCCAATATGCCCAGCCTATAGTCAACTGACTTTTGACAAAGGTGCCGAGAACACAGAATTATCAAAGAACACTCTGTTCACTCAATGGTCTTGGGACAACTGGATATCCATATGCAAAGAAATAAAACTAATATTTCATACCATATTACAAAATAAACTAAACTACAAATGAATTAAAGACTTAAATACAAGACTTAAAACTGTAAAATACTAGAAGAAACCATAGAAGAAAAGCTCCATGACATTCATCTAGGCAATGATTTTTTGGGATACAAACCCAAAAGCACAGACAACAAAAACAAAAATTGACAAGTGGGATTGCATCAAACTAAAAATCTCTTGCACAGCCAAGGACATATCAACAGAGTAAAGAGAGAACCTGTAGAACAGAAGAAAATATCTGCAAATCCTACATCCGATACCAGGTTAATGTAAAAAAAAGAAACTCAAATAACTCAGCAATGAGAAAACAAAGAATTCAATTTAAAAATTGGCAAAGGATCTGAGTAGGCATTTCTCCAAAGAAGACACAGAAAGATCCAACAGGTATATGACCAAGTGCCCAAATCAATAATCATCAGAGAATGATAATTAAAATCACAGTGAGATATCACCTCACAGCTGTTAGAATGACTGTTATCAAAAAGACAAAAGATAACAAGTGTTGGAGAGGATGTGGAGAAAAGGAAACCCTTGCACATAGTTGGTGGGAACATAAATTAGTACAGCCATTGTGAAAAACAGTATGGTGGTTCCTAAAAAAAATAGAAATGACAAAATGACAAAAGTATCCACTAATCCCAGTACTAAGTGTACATCCAAAACAAAGGAAACTCGTATGTGAAACAGATATCTGCACCCTGATGCTTACTGCAGCATTATTCACACTAGCCAAGATGAAATGAAACTACGTGTTCATCAACAGATGAATGAATAAAGAAAATGTATATGTATGCAATGGAGTGTTGTTCAGCCTTGAAAGAAGGAAGAAGTCCTGTCACTAGCAACAACATGGAGAAATCTAGAAGACATTCTATTCAGTGAAATAAGCCAGGAACAGAAACACAAATATACCGCATAATTTCACTTCTATGTAGGATCTCAAAAAGTTGAACTCATAGAAGTAGAGAATATCATAATTACCAGGGACTTGGAGGAGAGGTTGGGGAAACGAACGAAAAAACTACCTATTTCAAAATATTTTGTTATAGCAGCCTGAGCAGACTACGACAGACCCTTATCCAATATCATGTATAAAAATTAAAACAGATCAAAGACCTAAATGTAAGATCTAAAACTCTAAGAAGTAAACATAAGTGAAAATCGTCACAACATTTGGCAATGACTTATTGGATAAGACATCAAAAGCATAGGCCACAAAAGGAAAAAAAATAAACTGGGTGAAGTGGATCATGCCTGTAATCCCAGTACTTTGGGAGGCAGAGGTGGGAGGACTGCTTGAGGCCAGGAGTTCGAGGTTCCAGGGAGCTATGATTGTGCCATTGCACTTCAGCCTGGGCAACAGAGTGAGACCCTGTCTCTTAAAAAAATAGACTGGATATCATACAAAGGCTGAACAACACTCCATTGCATGAGCGGAGGCTCATGCCTGTAATACCAGCACTTTGGGAGGCCAAGGTGGGCGGATCACGAAGTCAAGAGATTGAGACCATCCTGGTCAACATGGTGAAACCTCGTCTCTACGAAAAATAGAAAAATTAGCCGGGCATGGTGGCACGTGCCTGTGGTCCCAGCTACTCGGGAGGCTGAGGTGAAAGAATTGCTTGAACCCAGGAGGCGGAGGTTGCTGTGAGTCGAGATTGTGCCACTGCACTCCAGCCTGGTGACAGAGTAAGACTCTGCCTCAAAACAAACAAACAAACAAACAGAAAATTAGTGCACATCCCATTCCAGTAGTAAGGGAGGCTGGATATATTTTTTCCCTTCAAATTCTACCTTGGAAGGTAGGATTCATGATGTGGGGGATTATAAAAATGTGGAGGGTGTTCAAAAGATTTTGGACAGTCACGAATGACAGATATTCATTATATAGTGCCTGTCTCTTCCTTCGAATTCACTTTCTACATTCCTCCAAAGTCACCAAAATTCTGGCTAATTTGCCTTGTAAATAGCTCAGGCATATATTTACTTTCCCTATCCTCCCTGACATTTCTTTAGTGTAAGTCACTCCATGGGGATGGGAAATAAGAGGTAGATAAGAGAAGGAGAAGAGTTTGAAATTTTTGCGTTCTCTATATAAATGCTGTCAAATTAAAATATAATTGTAGGTAGTGCCAAAGGCAGAAAGAAATCTAAATTTTCTTCCGAGTAACAATATATTGTTCTTTTTAACTGAAACAAAACTTTCTGGATCTCTCTCTCCCTCTCTCTCTTTTTTTTTTTTTTTTTTTTTTTTTCAGTCAAGGAAGGCTCGCACCGTCACAGCTTGACCTCCCTGGCTCAAGGAATCCTCTCACCTCAATCTCCCAACTAGCTGAGACTACACGTGCACACCGCCACGCCTGGCTAGTTCTAATTTTTTTTTCTTTTTGGAGACAGGGCCACCATGCCTGGCTACTTTAATTTTTTTTGTTTTGTTTTGTTTTTCCTTTGGTAGCATAAGGTCTTGCTCTGTTGCTCCGGCTGGTCTCCAGCTCCTGGACTCAAGTGATTCTACCATCCTGGCCTCTCAAAGTGCTGGGATTACAGGTGTGAGATCTTTTTACTTACGAACACATGCAAGCACTCTGTGTCGGTGGTGCACACTCTTGGGACAGGGAGGTTAGAGTTTAAATTGAGGCCATGGCTTCTTTACTCTTGCTGGGATCTTGAGCAGTCTCACAACTCTCAAAACTTAATTCATTATGGAAGTATTAGAGAATTTCTGTGAGATAATCAGGCATACATTTTTAAAGCACTAATATTGCTGAGATGTCCAAATGACTACAGAAATTATTATCCACCTACATGCTAAATTGCTATGTAGCCATTAAAAAGAATGAAGCTACTCTAAAGATACTAATATAAATAGTTTCCAAGATATCCTGAGTGAAGAAAACACAGTATAGAACAAGGCTTATAGGACGCTACCATTTTTTGTATGTGTGCATGCTTTTACGTCTGTGTAGGGTGTAGGCATATTTAAGCTTGTAAATTCACAGATCTTTGGAAGGATACCCAAGGAACTAGCAATAGTGGTTGCCTTCAGAGAAGAGAACCTCCCTACTGGAGGCAGGGATGGTGGAAGGGGCAGGGGACAAAGAGGGTGGACATTGAGCTTCTGAATTTTGTTCCATGTGCATATATTACAAATTCAAAAAAATAAAGACATAGTTAATTCTTTTAAGCACCTGGAATTACGCCCTATCTCCGAAAGCCGAGTACTTTCGGAGTACTTTCACAGTGAGAGAGAACTGAATTTGAAGTCCAGGTACAGCCGAAGTTTGGGGCTCCTCTGTTACCCATGCTTATCCGCACCTTTATTTTTTCTTTTCCTAAAGCATCTGGGCCTTTAGTTCAAATACTGGCAGATCTACAGCTTACTAGGTAGAATTTTTGTTATGGCATACATCAACATATTTCAAGTTTCTCTGCTTGGATGGAATAGATGCGTTAAATTCTATTTGAGTAAATTGTGAAAAATAGAAGAACTTTCAACAGGCATTATTTTTCAGGATCTTAGAAATAGTTATGCCTGATAGTTTTATAATGTCTGTCGTATACCTTTTGCAGTCCACAGAATGCACTCACATACCTTATCAGCTGATCCTTCGCAGAGAAGCCCCATGTGATTCTTTTCTATTCTCAGCTTTGTCCATGAACTAAAATTAGAACTAGGCTGACATTACATTTCAGTTGGTTACAGCTGACGGGATTTTAATCATTTGGAGCCACATTGAAGAAAATAAAAAACCCTGCAATCTGCTTTTAACTGATAGTCATTAACTTTGGTTGTGTGAACTTTAGTGTCCACCAATATTGGTAAGTATTTGACAATGGTAAGTATTTTTCAGAAACATTTATTCCTTCATGCTTCACATATAACTAGATTGCTGCTGATACCTATACTGTGTCTGTACCGGCCAGAATGTCCAAACAAACTGGAACTGAATTTAAAAGCTTTTTGGGAGGTGTTCATCATCACTCATATAATTGTGCTTCTCTGGAAGACAGAGGATACATTTCCCCAGAACTAAGAAACAATTCTTCTGCAATTCATTTGCTATGCTTACCTTACTGCCACAATATGTGCTTTTTAAATTGTTATTATGGTAATAATCAAAGTAGAGAGCACAATCTTGTGCTGGAGGAAGAAATACATCATTATTGACTTGTGTTTCGCTAAGGGAAGTTGGTCATTATAGAAAAACTGATTGATGAGCAACGTTTAATGGCAAATGAGAAAATAAATTAGCAAATGGATGAATCATTTTACATGTCTAGTAAAATACACATATACATGTAGATACTTGGGATTTTAAAAATATTTGCATTATTTCAGTATTTGGCAAAAACTTCAAACTTTCTTAAATCAGAGACAATAAATTGTAAATTGATTGTGACAGGCTCAGGAAGTTGGATCACCAGTGTATATATCCCAAGGTTTCTTCATAGCAAAGAGACCTTGCATTCTCTTCCTGAGTAAATTCAGAATGCCTTGCTTAGAATTTCTCTCAACAATTTCTTGCATATGCCAATTATTTATCAACATTGAAATTTTAAACTTGTTTTCTGTAATATAGTTCTTCTCTTTCTGTCCCTCACACACACATATACTACATAATATTAGTTTAAAACATCAATAATTTAGAAGAGGTTAATAATGAAAAATATTATCTGTCCTATTCCTCTCTATCACTAGTCCTGCTCCCTAGAAGTAATCATTTTAAGCATTTTGGGATTTGGTTTTCAGTGGTTATCTCATATTTCTTTTTTTTTTTCTTTTTTAAAGACAATTGCATGCTATTTTTAATCAACTTTAGACATTATCTATGGAGCTTCATTATGAGGGTTCCCTTACACTACCATAGAGTTATATCCCTATTTTTAGTTTCTCTTGATTATTTTCATAAAATTAAGCAAATACTTTAATCTTTATCTCTTGTTCCATAAAGTACAGACAGTGTCAGTTGATTCCCCACTTTGAAGATGTGGATATTGGTGTTCCTATTGTTTTACTTCTTTTTCTCATTTCCTTCTTTCACATTCTGTTAAAAGTACTGTTACTGGGCTGAGCATGATGGCTCACGCCTTTAATCTTAGCACTTTGGGAGGCTGAGGCGGGTGGATCACGAGGTCAAGAGATCGAGACCATTCTGGTCAACATGGTGAAACCCTGTCTCTACTAAAAAATACAAAAAGTTAGCTAGGCATGGTGGTGCGTACCTATAGTCCCAGCTACTCGGGAGGCTGAGGCAGAAGAATCACTTGATCCTGGAAGGCAGAGGTTGCAGTGAGCCAAGATTGCACCACTGCACTCCAGCCTGGCAACAGAGTGAAACTCTATCTCAAAAAAAAAAAAGTACTGTTACTATTATATTTTCAAGACATCTGGCATTTATATTGTGTTCTGTAACCTTCAATAAATCTTCCTTACTTTTTATAGGTTGATGTATTTCAAAAGATCAATACACAGGGTTTACAGTATCACAACTCTGTAATTTCTATTTTCTGCAGAGCCAACATTTCCTTCTCAGTATCAATGTCATATTAATGGTACTAAAGAAGAATGTTAATATAGATTCTCCTTTCCTGCACTTCAATAATTGCTAAAAATCATGCCACATTTGTTGGCTTTATATATGGACTATGCCTTTCTTGTACAGTGTCTTCCTCAACATAATTTCTGACTGCCTTTCTTTTTGCTTACTGGGAGAAGAAATTTCCTCTTTTCACCATATCTCCAATGTCACATGGTTTTTCCTCACTTAATTCTAGCTATTAATTTTTATAATTCATTGAATGGATATTGCCATTTTGCTTTTCTTGGGGGGGGTGTGTGTGAGACAGAGTTTCCCTCTTCTTGCCCACACTGGAGTGCAATGGTGCAATCTCAGCTCACTACAACCTCTGCCCCTTGGGTTCAAGTGATTCTCCTGACTCAGCCTTCCAAGTAGTTGGGATTACAGGCATGTGACACCACCCCTGGCTAATTTTATATTTTTTTTAGTGGAGATGGGGTTTCACCATGTTGGTTAGGCTGGTCTTGAACTCTTGACCTAAAGCGATCCACCTGCCTCAGCCTCTCAAAGTGCTGGTATTACAGGCATTAGCCACCGTGCCCAGCTATTGCTTTTAAAACATTGTTTTATTTTATTTTAAATTTTTTTACTATCTTGATATATATTGCTGGGAACAGTCTTGTTCATGTTTCCTAGTGGAGACACACCCTTCCTCTAGGTATATACCTTTGAATGGAATTACTGGATCATAAGCTGTGCTTATCTTCAACATTACCACATAAGTATTTCAAAATAGGTAATACTAATTTACAATTTCACCAATATACCAGCAGTGCGTGAGGATTTCTGTAACTCAAATTCTCGCCAACACTTGGTGTAATCAGCCTTTTGAATTTTAGCCATTCTGACAGGTGTTCATTGGTATCTTATTATGTTTTTAATAAGGTGGAGCACAATTTCACATGATTTTGGTCATTTGGATTTTTTTTCTCCACAAGGCAAGTTCTACCATTTGGATTTTATTTTTTGAAAATTTTCTGTTCAATTGTATTTTGTGGTTTTTTTTTAGTTGATTTTTAGAAGTTCTTTATATATTCTAGATGTAGTCCCTTGGTGGTTACGTATGTTGCCAATGTCTTCCCCCACTAATGTACATGATATTCCTTTTATTTTCTAAGTGATGTATTTCAGTAAGTTCTTAATTGTAACATAGACCAATTTATCAGTCTGTGTCAGGCTGTCCTTGCATTCTTTAAAGAAATACCTAGCCAGGCACCGCAGCTCATGTCTGTGATCCTAGCCCTTCTGGAGGCCAATGCAGGAGGACTGCTTGAGCCCAGGAGTTCAAGGCCAGCCTGGAAAACGTGGCGAGATCCTGTCACTACAGAAAAATAAAACGAAAAAAAAGCTGGCACACTGGTTCTCGCCTATAGCCCCTTCATAGTCCCTTCATTTATTTAGGTCTTCTTTTATTTCACTCAAGTTTTTAGTTTTCTGTATAGAGGTTTTTCACATCCTGTTTATTGTTAAGAATTTGATTTTAATGCTATTGAAAATAGCATATTTTTATTTTTTTTAATTTTTTTTAATTTTTTATTGGATTTTAGGTTTTGGGGTACATGAGCAGAGCATGCAAGACAGTTGCGAAGGTACACACATGGCAGTGTGCTTTGCTTTTCTTCTCCCCTTCACCCACATTTGGCATTTCTCCCCAGGCTATCCCTCCCCACCTCCCCCTCCCACTGGCCCTCCCCTTTTCCCCCCAATAGACCCCAGTGTTTAGTACTCCCCTTTCTGTGTCCATGTGTTCTCTTTTTTCATCACCCACCTATGAGTGAGAATATGCGGTGTTTCATTTTCTGTTCTTGTGTCAGTTTGCTGAGGATGATGTTCTCCAGATTCATCCATGTCCCTACAAATGACACAAACTCATCATTTCTGATTGCTGCATAATATTCCATGGTGTATATGTGCCACATTTTTCCAATCCAGTCTATTATCAATGGGCATTTGGGTTGATTCCAGGTCTTTGCTATTGTAAACAGTGCTGCAATGAACATTCATGTACATGTGTCCTTATAGTAGAACGATTTATAGTCTTTTGGATATATACCCAGTAATGGGATTGCTGGGTCAAATGCAATTTCTATTTCTAAGGCCTTGAGGAATCGCCACACTGTCTTCCACAATGGTTGAACTAATTTACACTCCCACCAACAGTGTAAAAGTGTTCCTTTTTCTCCACATCCTCTCCAGCATCTGTTGTCTCCAGATTTTTTAATGATCGCCATTCTAACTGGCATGAGATGGTATCTCAATGTGGTTTTGATTTGCATCTCTCTGATGACCAGTGACGATGAGCATTTTTTCATATGATTGTTGGCCTCATATATGTCTTCTTTCATAAAGTGTCTGTTCATATCCTTTGCCCACTTTTGAATGGGCTTGTTTGTTTTTTTCCTGTAAATCTGTTTGAGTTCTTTGTAATTTCTGGATATCAGCCCTTTGTCAGATGGGTAGACTGCGAAAATTTTTTCCCATTCTGTTGGTTGCCTATCCACTCTAGTGACTGTTTCTTTTGCCGTGCAGAAGCTGTGGAGTTTCATTAGGTCCCATTTGTCTATTTTGGCTTTTGTTGCCAATGCTTTTGGTGTTTTGGTCATGAAGTCCTCGCCTACTCCTATGTCCTGGATAGTTTTGCCTAGATTTCCTTCTAGGGTTTTTATGGTGCCAGGTCTTATGTTTAAGTCTTTAATCCATCTGGAGTTAATTTTAGTGTAAGGTGTCAGGAAGGGGTCCAGTTTCTGCTTTCTGCACATGGCTAGCCAGTTTTCCCAACACCATTTGTTAAACATGGAATCCTTTCCCCATTGCTTGTTTTTGTCAGGTTTATCAAAGATTGTATAGTTGTAGATATGTTGTGTTGCCTCCGGTGCCTCTGTTTTGTTCCATTGGTCTATATCTCTGTTTTGGTACCAGTACCATGCTGTTTTGATTACTGCAGCCTTGTAGTATAGTTTGAAATCCGGTAGTGTGATGCCCCAATAGCATATTTTTAACAATTTAATATCTATTCTGAAGGCTGAGGCAGAGGGAGCCCAGGAGATCAAGGCTATGGTAAGCCATGATTGTGCCGCTACATTCCAACCTTGGTGACAGAGTAAACCTGTCTCAAGAAACACACACACACGTGCACACACCCAAATAAATACCTGCTACTGGGTAAATTACAAAGAAAAGAGGTTTAACTAGCTCACGGTTCTGTAGGCTTTCAGGAAGCATGGTGCTGGCATCTGCTTG